TTTTTTTTTCTAAATTTCACATGTATTTGCTCTCTGGCTCTCTTGCTGTGTTTGTCTCTGTCGCTTTTCCTCTTTGCGTATGTGTTATCATACAGCAACATACCTCAGAGGAAGTAAAGGACTTCTTTCCTTGTGGCAGGAATGTCAGCATGTGTAAAGGCAACTCTTCAGATGAGTGGCAGCTGCAAAACAGAATAAGAGTCTTACACAGTTATATATATACATATATATATATATATATATATATATATAGCCAATAGTTACAAAAAATGTGCTTAAGCAATCAGAAAAAACTGTAAGTCGTAGAACGGCCAAAAGTTATTCACAGTTAAGGGTGTGACTGTGACGGTTGGTGCTTTCAGTGAGAGTTGGGTACGGTTTTGTCTTGTTCAGCATCCAGTTATAGTAATGCTCAGCGAACTCTGCCGTTTTCTTTCACACAGGGATTCAGACAAGATGAAACCCTATGAAAATACAAGATGGAGAAAATGAGGTTCATCCTGTTCAGTAGTGGAAGTCATTAATCACTAACCCAATTAGGAGAGGCGCTAACTTAATAAATCACTTTGCACAGCTCGCAGTGAAAAGAATTGTCCAAAAAACCCAAACTTGGTTATGCGTTTGTGGCTTTCGTCAATGCTACGCAAACACCTGACTTTATTTGCACACACTGCACATCATAAAGCTTCTGCTCATTAACTCAAAGTTTCTTTCCAGCACAGTTCACAGTCCAGGACCAGCTTCGCTTGTCCACTTGTGTGTCAGCAATACAGGATGAGTGCTCCACCTCTCTTGTGGCTGAGGCCAAAACTACACCCAACCACTGCACTCTTTTAAATTGCATAACACGGAAAATATGTAAAGCGTGGGTGGACTTCATGATTATATGTGAGCACAGTGTCATCATTGGAATGTTTTTATAGTCACTACTTGAAGACCAAGTCACATCCTTTGTCTGTAAAAACCAATAGGAAGGTATGAACATGCATAAAAGGAAGGACATACACTTTGCTCATTATTGTCTTAATAACTGGATTTGTTTTGATAAAACATGGTTAATTTGGCCTCCAGCTGGGTTACAAAAACATCAAAATTATATGGTCAAAAATTGAGATGAGTCATTTTTGATCACCAGATGCAGATACTACCTGCTCTTCCAATTTGTAGTAAATAGGTCATTTGGTGCGAGGATGAAGGGAGTCTTAAACTGCTATTTGCGATGTTTAAATGCTCACTGTAGTATAATTTGTGCGTATTGTGCAGTTAAATTAAGTTTCCCTTGGTCTGGTTTTGACTAAAAGAAGAAGAGATAAATAAATTACATACAATTAGATACATAAATAAATAACACTGTGCGGCCGGGAATGTCAAGTGTTGCTGCCCTCAACTAACGCCTTTTACCATGCAGCAAGCCCTCTTCATCAAGATTATATTATAATTGTGACCTTGCCGGCTGACATAATGTTTCCTTTTGCCGACCAGCAATAAGACTGAAACGTGATACATGCAAAAAGAATGTATCCTACCAAAGGCCTTGTAAACATATATCAGTTACAGCACTAATAGAGTTCACATTCAGAGGGCATTTTTCTATTTATGGCTGTTTCCTCTGCGTGTTGTAGAACATCTATGTTACACTGTTAGAACAGTGATGACAGCATCAACAACAAGGTTGAAACAAGCTAATTATTAACATTTATTTAACATGTGCAGGAATGGCAGGACCCGTGGTAATTACTTGCACTTCTATAGTGGCTCTACTGACACTGTAGTGATTATAGGTTGTAAATCCTGGCTCGAGCACGATCATCATAGGAATGCAATATCAAAGACGCTAGTATTGATGGAGAAGAGCGCTGTCAAAGTCGTGAGAAGGGGGTTAGATAGAGATGATACAGGGGTGATCTTAAAGGAGGATGTAGGAAGTGGGAAAATTGATGTGACCCGAGATCAATAACGAAGAGCATTCGGATCTCAACAGTGTAACTGAATCGCCTTGTGGCTGCTGCTGCTGTTTCAGGGACATCAGCCTCTGTGTCCCCTGAGCTGATGATCAGTGTGAAAAATGTAGAAATGCTAGTGTCAGGGAGATTGTAGAAGAAAAGGTTGGGAGAGGTTTGAAGCAGATAAAGCTGTCCAATTTTTGGTGACTCCAACTGGTTCGTTGCCACGTTTTCTTGGATCAATATCCATCAACACTGGTTTTCCTTAAATGTAAAGGCTAAGTACCTCAATGGGCATCAAACACAATTACAATCCTTAGACGTGCATTAGTGGTTTTGGAGTGGTCTCGCCAAATTTAGTATGATCTTGACAAAAAAAAAAAAGATGAAGCAGATGGCACTTAATGGGATTAATGTGATCTAAACTTCAATAAACCTCAACGTGTCTGGCAGGTTTCCAAAAAAGTGTTTCAAAATGCACTATTTCAAAATGCAGTCAAAGTGTGAAACTGCCAAATACTGCACTAGAAAATGAGTCATGATTTAAAGAGACTTTTCAGCTTGGTAGATAAAATTCAGGACTAGACATCAAAAACACATTTATAGTCTAAACCCCTTTCAGGAGGCTCCTCTTCAAGTACGCACAGCACTAAATTGTGCCGTAGCATCAGCAACACACAAAACCAGAATTCAGTGAAAATCAATCCTTTTCACAGTGCACTTCTCGCTGTGAAGTGGGAGGAAGAAAAACCTCATCTTTCAGTCTTAAGCTCAAGATCATCACACAAGACTGAGTGAGCTGCTGCTGATCTGTGGCTCAGCTGAGTCGCCCTCTTGTGGTGCATGGCGACAATGCACCTTGAAGTCCATCATAGGACTATACTTTTTTTTTTTTGCAAAAGATTCACAACACATTCAAAATAATAATGACAATAAAAAGATAAAGTAGTAAAATAAAACCACTATTAAATATAAAAGAAGGAATAGCTGCAGTGATTTTGTGGACTTGTTTTTCTGTTGACCTAATTTTAGAGGTAAGTTTGGAGACTACTGGAATCCGTGGTGCTCTTTCTTTCTGTTTCCAATATCGTGCCTCCTTCCTTCACCTTTAGAAACATTAGAAACACACTTTAGCATAATGCAATCCAGCTCAACAATGCCACAAGCTACAGCGAAGTCTTTGGCACACCAGCAGCCACTCCACCACAAAAAACACGATTAATTGAAGAACCAAACGCTACATTAGCATAAATATGTAGACACTCACGAGTAATTGTCATTACTCGTAAACTGGCTGATACTCGGTGGTCGGCTTAGCCCAGGTGTTAGAAAGAGGGTTTCCCCAAACCTCTCACGTGACTCTTTCGTATAAGATATAAAGATACAGTATAATTAATTTTAGTAACGTGCGCGATGATATTAGATCAAAGGCAGGATAAAAGTGGCATGAAAGTGTTACTGTGGGGCCAAAAGAATGTAGACAGATGTGTCCACATACTTTTGGGTATATAGCAATAACAACAAAGACGTGTGTGGGGATTATTACTGAATGTGCAAAACATTCATGTCGGTCTTTAATACTAAATATGAATCATTTTCATTATTTGATATTTTTCAGCTAGTGAGACCTCACGTGAGACTAAAACGAGAGAGAAAGAGAGAGAGCGAGAGAGAGAGAGTGCGTGTGTGTGTGTGTGAGAGAGAGGGAGAGGAGCAGGTTGCACTGCAGGAGCATCAGGAGTAATAAAGTGGAGGGTGGACGTGGCCCTCTCCTCTTTTCGCCTGCCTCCTCCGCAGTGCACTTGCAGTACTCCGGACAGGACGGTCTCCTGCACCTCCTCCTCCGGCTCGTCTTCACTCTATGTGCTGGTGCGTTAGTGTGTAAGTAGTGGCGCTGCTGAGGAGGTGCACCTACACTTGCAACTGACTCCGGTCCAGAGGTCCCGGACAGACGCGCGATGGTGCGGACTCATTGATAAAATCCGTGCCGCTGGAATTAAAATGAGCACTTCTGCTGAGCGGCTCTCCTCATACACATAGCTCTGCTTTCTCTGCACAACACCTCTTTTATGTGACTCCGGCTGACGAATCAGGATGACTTCTACCTTATCGCTGGTCATTTCATGCGCTTTGGTAAGTAGTCTGTGCAGTAAGTGACTGCAGCAGTACCCTGCTTCTTTAATGCTGTCATTCTTTAAATGGAGTTTCAGTGACCCGATGGACTTTTTCATTTCACTTTTTCATTTTTTCAGGGATTTCCTTTCACTGTGACGTCTCAATAATGATTCCCTCAGTAACATGCCATCTGAAGCTGAAATTGTTTCCCACTTTGCAAATCTGTGCTGTTGCTGCTCCTGTTGGGACTTTCGTGGTGACTTTTTCTTGACCATTGTGTGGCATTTATAATCCGTTTTGAGAAATTTCTGTCATATCTTTGTAAATATGTATTTTATTGCTGTTGTGAGGCAAGCAGTAAGTCGTTTATCTGGTTAAACGTGACACGCGGGTGCTGCATGTAGCTACATGTCAACTCATTTGATTATGACTTTGTGGACAGACCAGTTGATGTTCAGCTGTGCGCGCACCCACCTACCCACCCACCCACGCACGCACGCACGCACACACGTTCCCCTAAATGCGCACTTGTACCTCCCTTTTGGTTTTCACGCATGGGAGAAAAAGTTCAGAAGCACTGCTGGAATTATGTTTATGGAAAATATCTTCGATATCTTCTTCACCCTGGGTCACATGCAGACACCAGAAGCTTCTGGTGGATGCTTTGACCTAGAGTTTAATACCTGTAATGAGTTTATAATAATGTTTTGTCAAAATGTTTACTTTTTAGGGTATTTTGGCCATATTTGGGGTGTTAAATGAAAACCAGAGAAAGATGCTTGAATGTTCATGCAAAAATGTGGATCTTTTTTCAAATCATATCATTCTTAAAATTAAAGTACTGATTATAGGAAAAAGGTTGATTATAGGAGATGGTGGTAATAAAGCCAGAAGCAGAGGTCACATCCTCCCAGCACTCTGTTAAGTGTACAGCAGCTGGTCTTATTGGGCTGTGTGGCTCAGTCATCATGTGAACAGCCCTGGATGTGAGCGGACACTCTGTTATGACAGCTGGTTTAAAGAGTGGTGACGGTCGGATGCACTTTGGTAGAATTAAATTTAGAAATAAACTCTCAAATTGACCATGAAATTGAAGTGGGAGCAAACCAAGCATATCATAGCTGCGTCACTGTACATTTTTATTAATATGTGTATGCATATTCCTGCTGCCCATTTCACTGTATTTGTCATTAATCTGTGTTTTAGCTGAGTGAAATTCCTGTGAGACGTAAAAGGAAGGGGAGAGCAGTTAGAGACATGAATCCATCCCCTGTAAGAAGGAATGCCTTTTATGGTTTTGGGATCCACCCAAGTTTCATTTTTGCAGACTCAAAGTCTGATAATGTACTCTTACAGATGCAGAAATTTGTGCAAAAACGTTGAGATAACAGGCTGTAAAGTCAGGAAAAATGATTAGGAAGAGGAATGCACCTTGAGAGCAAAAAGTGGAGTGACAGATAGGGGGAAATATTGAGCAAGAGAAGTGGGAATGAGAGAAAGAGAGAGAGAGCGGTGCTAGCTGCTCAGTACATCTGTTTCTGAATGAAAGCAGGGACAGTAGAGAAGGAGGGGGGGGGGCAAGGAAGGATGACAGAGAGAAAGACAGAAAAAAGACTGAATTGATGTCTCAGCAAATGTGAATTAAGTGGAAATGAGCTTTTGCTCGTTACATAATAAAAGCCACAGGACATGAAAGTGACTCAGTATAACGCTTTTCTTTGTTCTCCAACGTCTGAGTATGAATTCTTTTCATTTCGCATTGTTGTACACACACCAGCGGAACAAGCCTCAGTTCTTTTGCGAGTAAAGCTGCATGGAATTTATATCAGAGAGGACTGAGGGAAATGCAACACAGAGGAGGTGATAATGGGGGAGGATGGGGCATTACCAGACAGGATATTAGTGACAAAAAATTTGTGCATGCATGAAAGAAACACCATAAAAAGCATTTAGAGTGCAGAGACCACATGATTAAATGTGGTGCTTAAATATGCAAAGAAACAAGACTTTAGAATTAATTCATGACCTCAGCTGCTGACTCACACGAGTGAACTTTTTTTTTTTTTTTTTTAAATCTGGGGCCTATCTCCCATTTATTGTTAAAAGTCTCCACAATGTAAACTTTCACCTTCAAACTTAATAAAAAAATGAACCTCCATCATGTAGACCAATTTGAGTAAAGGATGGATTTACACATTCATATTATGGTTGAGGGAGGTTAGTGAGAGGAAATGCACTTTTACAATTTATAAAGTCCTCACAAGTGTAGAAATACAAGTGCTTGTGCGCATGTGCCAGAGGAGATCGGAAGCAGAGGCTGACATTCACAACAACTTTCACCTTTAGACAGTAATTAGGACAGGCATGTGTATAATGTCGTGCACCCATGATTTTATGCTTACTGCCCTGGCTGGAGCATGTCATAAGTTTACTATTAGAGCTGATGTGCCTTTAGGGGAGCTATTAGGACAGTTTAGACGACTGCCTTGTTTAAAGTGTGTCTAATGTAGGCGGAGACAACATGATTTATGATGAATCCCAATGGCAGTTAGAGTTAAGGAACAGGTTGGACACCTGGCAGTAATTTTCATCAATTTGCTTTGCCTTGCACGCCACAGCGGTCCTGCGTTTGTCTATGTGTGAAAGTTTGCTCTCCGATTTACTGTGCCGGTGTCCCGGTGTGCCAGGTGGCAGCGGTGCTGGCCTCCAAGACGGAGCGGGCTGTGCTTCTCTCCTGCGAATCTCGCCAGTTCACCAGGAATGGAGAATGCTGCATTGAGTGTCCACCTGGAGAGGGAGTGTTGAAGAAATGCGGCGTTACTCAGACCGTCTGCACTCAGTGTTTGGACAGTGAGTATTGTATTACTGTTATTATTGTGCATGCAATTAAAAATGAATAGAGTAATCAAATCAAAGTTACAAAGCAAGTTTCTCTGATGTTGGTTAATATATCATTATTTGGTGAAATGTTTGTTTTTTGCTTTAGGTTAAATCCTAGAATAGATGTGTGGAGAGTGAGGCTGCATATCCACTAATTAACAGTTTGTTAACATTTACAGCTTTCAACTTGATTAAATACTGTGCAAACGCTCTACCAATGGCTTGCTATTATTTATGGCTGCAAAACACACAAGAGCCAAGGGGATTTTTTTTCTCATTTACATGAGCCAAAAGCATTTTTTTTCCTAACTGTAAAAATAGATTTTTTTTCATTTCCACTAGGAAAACACATTTTTTTTTACTGATCAATAGGCAACAATGCATAAACCAAGCAAGTTTCAAAATATTGTATTAAAAGATAACACTTTTGAAACCCTTTTGTGATATTTACGGAATTTTGTGTTGCCTTTCCTATTTGTGGCCCTGAAACTTTCCGCCTAAACAAAGCTCAACAACAATGAGTCTTACCGCAACCAAAATACAACCACAAACCACACAAAGAGTTTTCATATAAGTGCAGAGTGGTTCTAATAAAGCAGGTCGAACATGTTTTTTTTTTTATCACGGGCATTAAGCAACCAACTCTTAAATCTTTGCATTATAGAACTTTAGGATGCAAAAAACTTGACTCTACTTCTTGTAAGGCCAATGTAAGAGGATTAAAATAAATCCAGAAACAAATCAAACACAGTATATACACATATAAACTCACGCACAGCTGCAAAACTGAATGTGATTACCAACATAGACACATGTGATCAACACAAACTTTTAACAATTGCATCATCTTTATTTACACATGCCATTCATATTTGGGGGTCTCAAGATCCAAACTAAAAACAAAGATTTTCAAAGCCAGAAATACTGTTATTGACCAATTTGTATAAACTGTATGATCTGTCTCTATCAAGTTACCCCCAAATAATGCAGGAGTTAATCAGTTTGATGCTTGTAAGTGGGTCCAAATGTGTTCATTTAAAGCTCAGCTGAGGCTGTAAACCATTAGGGACTTGCTCTATGCTTTCCCAGAGTTGGGAAAGGTTCCAACTTCACAACAACACAAAGAAGAAAATAAGATTTTTGCATTTTGTCATAGCAGTTCTCTTGTTCTGTAGCTCTGTCAGCATGCAAAGTAAAGGTCTCGAGTGTCACTGCGTAGTTCAACAAAAGCTGCAGAACTGTTTAACACTGACTTGTGGCGTGAATCCATTATGGCAACATGTGCTGAAAAATCCTTTCATAAACAAGAACTGCTGAGCAAAAGTCTTTTAACATCAAAATCTTCCCATGTGCTAAACAGAACCCTCCAAAATATCAACTGGATGCCATTACGAGGGAGATGATTAAATTGTGGAGGAATGATTACGGACTGGCAGGAATACTTTTTATCCACAGAGAATTCAAGTCTTGGACTTGTGAATTTGTTTGCATAACAAATTGCAAATCTCTGAGCCACATTATGTTATTTAAGCATCTCAAGTCGGTCTAATTTCAATCCTTTGAAGTTTTTTGCCTTGGGTATCTCAAGAGCTGCAGTTGTTGGTGCAAGAACAGGGAGCCAGTTTTCTACATGTAGAGCAAAACAGTGCCACAGGCTGAAAAAACCCCGGGTAAGATACAATGAGTCAATTTCATATAAACCTACTGTGTCAAAGCAAAGGAAGAGGCATGAATTTGACAAAAATGGGCTGATGTCCAAAAGTAAAAGTGAAAATTTTTATGATTTTCCATCAGCGCTGTTGAAAATCCAGATTAAGAATTAATATTATAAATATTAGTTAACATTGAAAAACGCATCTGATAACTTGGAATGACTAAGTGGCGTCTGGAGTCTGAGGATAAGCGCGCTGCTATTTCATGGGCGTCTGGACTTTATCACTGCTTTGACGTCACCATATTCCTTTTCATATTGCTACAGCAAACAGTGGCAGATGATGTGTAGATGCTAAACCACAGCTCTACTTTCCTATAATGTGGGCTGGCTCTCTTGACTGTATTTCTGAATAGACGTTGTTTCATTCTCTCCCTCATCCCCAACTCCTCTACACCAATTCTTGTCGTGTCTCCCTTCATCTCCTGTTCTCACTTTTCTCAGCCAGCATGCCGCCCCCCCTCTCCCCTCCCCCTTCCTGTTGCTATGACTCATCGTCTGTATTAGCGGATAAAATGGTATTAGAGAGCCAGGCACCAAAGGGCACGATCTGCTCATTTATCATGCATACTGTTACATCAGTGCATCTTTACCAATTTGATCCAGCTAATTAAACCATATTGAAAAGCCTATTGTGCCTCTAACAGCGAACAATTATCTTGCTTTGCAATACAGGAACAGTATTCACCACTGATAAACACTCAACAATTAACCTCAAATACCCAGGAGGTTAAATTCAATTTCCGGTGCAAATGCATTTTTATACTTTTCTGCATTGTTTTTGTTTCAGCAATTTAAATATTAATGCACCTGAAACCCCCCAGGAGCACAGTCGCTAAAATAAGGCTGAGTGGCGTTTATATACAAGCAAAGGTTAGAGGCTAAAACAGCGACCTTACTCGAAAAATGAATGCTATAAATACATTTTCTAAAGTGCAGATATGAATAATTGAGAAGTAAAATCCAACACATCCATTTCCTGTTTCACGGTAAATAAGGGCAAATCTGTATTCACCTCGACCCCCTTTAATATCCCACTTCCTGTATCCCACTTCTACTCCTCCACCTACCAATGGTCTCCCCGGTCCCAGCTCGGGACGAGTGCCAGCATCAGCAGCAATAAAATATTTATCAGTCTCCTTCACTTTCACTGCTGTCATGGGAGATAAGACAACCAGACTTGCCTCACTTAGTAAGCCATTCAAAGGTGCTTGAATGCAATATGTGGGGGAAAACCCCAGGAGTCAATGTGGAAGAGCCCTGCTGGCCAACTGGACTGGGACTCACTGGAAATTAAAGGAAAATTCAAATCATGGAATGTCTGGGGACGGCTGAAGCAGAGCATCAAGTTTCTTTTAACTTTGGATAAAGAAAGGGAAAATGGAGATTTTCTCCTGGCAGGTCTTCTCTGGCTGTAGCAGATGTATCAGATGAAGCTAGTTCCCTACATAACACCCTAAAAAAAAAGTGACATTAGTACGGGATGCAAGAGCGGACATTGATTGTTAAATTATATTTTGCCTAATTTGGTCTTCCTTGGAATAGCTCCGGTTAATAATATTCCCTCTATGTTTGAAACACCTGTTTCAAATCTGAGGGAAGCAAAGCGATCCAAAGGAGCAGGGTGATAATTACAAACAGAAATGATTTGTGTTCAAAAAGCCAAATAAAGCCGTCACGCAACTTTCCAAATGTTGATAATTTATCCTCAGTCAGCAGAGGGTCAGCGTTTTGGGTAGCGTCTAAGCAGAAACACGGTACTTTCTGTGAAGGGTAGGAAATGTCCAGCATTGCTCATGCTCACACCTAAAGTGCTGATTGTGAACATCATCAAATAGCCTCAAGGCCATCGAGAACTACATTATTGATGACACTAATGGGGCTGAAACACATCAGCGTTAGATGAGGGGGGTGGTCCTCCTGGGCTGAAGAGGCACAATTTAAGTGCATCGCGCCCCCATTCACGACCACATTTCCCTTTACCCGCAACCACCTTTATAGCCAAACACGGTGACACTAAACGCTGATGTGTGCTCATCAGATCTCAGCTGGGGACAATCAGAAAGAAGGCCATATTTGATTAAAGAATGCACTCTCACCTGATGGCCTTTAACTTTCTTCCTTTCTTCTTTCCACATGAAAGCGCTGACGCATGCACCGCAGACACACGCCCACACGCATCTCTTCTGACAGTTCCTGCTGAACACTCGCTGCATATGGTCACATTTAGGCATGTTTACGCACAAGAACTGCAAAGGGGACTCATGCATGCGAGTTAAAATTAGCGAGGAAGCCTGTTCGCAGCGGGATAATTGAAATGAATGAGGAGGGGAGGTTTACTGGTTGAGCCTGACTGAAATCAAAACAAAGGTTTCAACCTCACAAATTCAAATGATTATTTACTTTGGAGGTCTGGTGTTTGTCTGTGTCTGGATCATTCAGTTAGTGTCACCCTCCTCTATCACTTCTGCCTGCAAACAGTAATAAGAGCAAAGGGTGATGACAGACTCACCCTTAAAGAAAAAGCACAGGATTTGATGCTGTCTAAAAGGAAACTGAACGCACTTACATCCCTGCTTGCCTCATTTCCCGTGAACCTTTCTCCTCCTACTTGTACACCAGCCCTTCCTCAACACTAGAATATGTTCTTTTTGGGGGGGTTTGGGACCACCCTCACAGACTGCTTATAGTTGCGCTGCGTCAAACAATCTAGAGAATCATTCGAGCGAATCAAGCGACTGCTCGCGCAGAGCTTGTTGATCATTCTACCTGTGTCTATATCATTACTTCCATCTGCTCCGCTCAGTCTGCTTGTATAATGTGACAGGTCTCATAGTCGGCCTCTTAGCAGCGCTGCTGTTTACAAGGTGTTTAGAGCTTCAATTGGTGCCAGTGTTTACTTGCCAGAGCCACTTACAACGTAAAAGCAAGCGCTGGGACATTGCTGCAGGGTTTTTCACACTGACAATATGTTGTTTCTCAACACGACACCAGCTAAGCAATTCCTGTGAAAAACACATATTCCGAAGCATATGGATATGCAGATAAGAGCTCTGCAAGTCCCAGACATCCACACAGGCATGTGGCTTTATTTATAGTTCTGCCATTCCCAATGATTTATTTCCCTTCAAGACAAACAGCACGGAGACGGCGAGGAGATTTTGAAGAGTGCAAACTTGCTACGTGCTCCATTTTTGTGAAATTCATAGTAAAACGAGCAATGTCTGGTGTTAATTAAGCAGTTTATAAAGCTGCATTCTTGTCGCAAAATCTCATGTTGTGAAACCTTTATTCCAAACAGCTTTGTACCCATTGAATGTTGTGTACAACACAACAGTCTTTGTGGTGTTTTTGCAGCTCTCTCAAGGTGACCGCTCTTATATTATACACACACACACACACACACACACACACACACACACACACACACACACACACACACACACACACACACACACACACAAAAAGGTATTTGAAAAACAGTGACACTGCCTCTGTAATGAATCTGAGCTTTAGTGTCGCCCCCCACCCCTGTCGGCCTTTCTACTATACTCTCAACTCATTCAACTGCTAAAGCACACTCATAGGGCACACAAACACTCTCGCTTTCACATTGTATGCATAATTCAGCAGGCATCCAATTATATCTGAAAATAAGTCTATATGAAAATGCAATATTAATAGATTACTTTGTGCCCCGAGGAACTCTCAGTGTAAGAATAAGCTAATTTGAGGTCATCATTTCCTCAGTCATGAACTCTCCCAAATCCTCCCGACTCCAAATAGCACAGAAGAACAAATCTGAAGAGCTTGGAGTAATTCAAAGGCAGCCAGTAATAAGTCACCACATCTTTTATCTCATTTCTCTGATAACACTACTGTGGTCTGATGTGTTTTTTTCTCCCTTTGCACACAACTCACAACAAAAACTTATACAGTGAAATGTGCCTTAAACTCAAGGTTTTTTGCACACACACACATACCCTGTGAAGGTTTAGCAAACATATGACACAAACCAGAAATAACATGTGTTTTATATAGATGACGCTACTACTCAGTCCGCCAGTTTACACACTCTTACTTCAGGCAGATCAAAGAGTGAAGCTTAGCTAATATAAGCCTGTGTTAAACCTAAAGCTAAAATATCTGAAGCTATCCTACTGAACAGTATCTGCTTTTGTGATGATGGTTATTATTTAGTCTTACTTCAGTTACAAAAAGCTTAAATAAAGGTGGGAGTTACATTGGATCATTAGTGCAACTCCTGGAAGTGTTTGCCAATTTCCATTAAAAAAATCCAACCTTGGTAATAAAGTGTTATTTTCTCTGGGTTGTCTTTATCTGTCTGAAGCAACTTGGTAAGAACTCAATGCGCCTTTTGCGATACATTACTGGGTAGTTCAAATAGAACAGTTTTTGACTGTAGCGCAATTCAAATTCCATATCTGTATTTCTCCCTCACCTCATGGTGTTATCCTTGAAATCAAGGAAGATCAGCAAGGAAAAGAAACAGGAGGTCAAGTTTTAAACATACGACTGCAGCCTTACATTATGTTATGATATATTCAATTATGATATGGCAATTAAAAATTCTATTTGTGCTTTTAGATCAGTTTATATCATGACCAGGTAACAAAAGTATCTTAATTTACTTAAGTCAGTGATGATGACTTTTAAAGACAGGCTTTCAGTGGAAGGATGTGGATGCACCTGCATTTCACTCCCCGCGTATGACTGAGATTAAAGCAGTTTACTCAGCGCAGCACAAACACTCTGGGATCGATATCATAATGAGCACAGCAGGCTTTTGACTCGCTCCCCAACAAGAGCACCTTTCTTGTCCCGAAGCACAAATCACTAAAGAGCCCAGTGGATCAATGTGTCCTTCCTTTTAATGAATGTGCAGTAAACATGATTAATGTCATTATACTCACTGTTTTTCTCCCTGTTTATCTCCTCACATTTCCTTCTCTCTTCATCTTCTAATCTCTTTTATTTTTTTACTCATCTCCATTCCTTTCAAACCTTTCCTCGAATGTGTAGGCGAGACCTTCTCTGAGAACTACAGTCATACAGAGGAGTGCAAGACATGCACTCAGTGCACCGGGTTGATGCGGATGGAGACGCCATGCACCGACTCCAACGATGCCAAATGCATTTGTAACTATAACTATTTCTTCAACACTGTAACTGGCCGTTGTGAGCAGTGTACGGTATGCCCTTTGGGACAGGGCGTGTACTCCCACTGTGATCACGATCACGATACGGTGTGTGAGGAATGTGTCGACGAAACCTTCTCTGACGAGGAAAACTCCCTCGAACCCTGCCTGCCCTGCACCATCTGTGATGAAAACGAAACACAACAAGCTAATTGCACGCCAACCAGTGACACTGTCTGCTACAGTAAGTCTGCACTGCACGCTCTGCACACTCACGTTGGTTTCATATAGTTGAATTTTTTTTAAAGGATATTTTTTCACCTTTGAACGAAACCAAGGTAAAAACGAACCAAGATGGTTTCTATGCCAAACATATCAGGGGTAAAAGTCCGTTTAAAAAGTTAGAAGCTCCACACTAAAACTGCACAGTAGCTACAAGTAATTTTAAAACAGCATCATATATGTCTCAGTCACATTTTGCACAAATCAGCAGGGGTAACTTCCACATGTGTGGGAACAAACGTGGTCAGAGGTCATCCCTGGTCTGATTTTTAAACAGCAGGATGTTCAAAGTTTTAGCATTAAAAGGTCAAAGTTTGCTGCAGTGTCAACAAAGGGACAATGAATAATCGTCTCGACCACAAAACAGAAGCTCAGAATGTCAGAGCAAAGTCAAGCTCCTTGTACCAAAGGAAGCTATAAATTCGCTTGGGTTAGACAAGGCGTGAAATTGACCTCATCAGGGGGCCGCAAAGTTCAAATCTATGGGGTAAAATGTCTTCGCTGGTATTGCTCTCGATTTCCTGTATGAAAAAATGTTCTTCTGCATTATCTTATGGGAAAGCATGCTTGAACCAGTGAGGCAATTTTGAATAAATGCTTCAAAGAATGATCGTAATAGATGGAACAGTGGCTAAAGGCCTACTAATCTCTTGTGCACATTATCAATTTATTGAAAAATGTTTATGTATAAATTGTGGTATTCAGCAAGGAGCTGTAATAATCCCCTTTTAAACGTTGAGAGGGTTGAGATTTCATGGCCTCAAACACTGGTGGTGGCAGGTGGATATACCAAGTTAATGAGCCTCAGAAATTTGTCAAGCCCATGTTGTAGCAGAGAGGATGACTTGAAGCTTCTTATAATAGATTCTAATGGCAAAAAAGACAATGGAGAAATGAACTGGAGGGAAAAAAAAGCAGGAAAAATGACTCTAAACATACATAACAACTTTTACATGAGCGCCACATTTAGCATTTTATTATTAATTGATCAGTAAGATAATTTTTTACACCATTCAAATTATGGTCTATTTTATATATATATATACATATATATATATAAAGAAATCAGACAGATTAATTGCTATTTTCAAAACTAATTAATTAGAGTTTGAAAAACTACAATTTTTAAAAAATTTAAATTTAGACTTTAGTTTTAGTTGCCTGAATAATGCATTGGCTCATCTCAAAAATATATATGGTCCAGGCATATAATCTACTTCCACTTGGAATTTCAAAGTAATGCCTACCATTAGCCTGGCCTGTCCAAAAATATCTGCTGTCCCGTAGGCCACAATGCAGCCTTTTGCTGCCCATTTAGCGCCCACCCAAGCAGATCAACTGTGACCCGCCTTGTCCTGAGTGATGGTACTGCAGCAGCAGTAACGGTGGGGACTGGAGATGGCATGATATGTGACTGTTTGAAAAATAATAGCACCAGTGGGCCTGCGGGTAATGGCTGCAGTCACATGCGGTCATGATGATGCTTGCTGACCTTACATGGTGGTCTTTGATACTGTGCATACAGTAAGCTTGGTATGACAAAGGAGAAAGTGCCTTACTGGTAATTTTTACAGGAGGAATTTTTTATATTTTATTCTTATCCCACTGCCTTATTTTTATACAGTAAATAAGATGTGATTAAAGCATTTTAAAGTTCCCAGATCTTCATATCCAGCTGTCACCAAGTGTCAATTACATGATACAATGACAGAGTCAGAAAGAGAAAGAGAGGGCTGCCGCATATGTGCTGTGCTGGTATTCTATGCAGAGGGGTCGATATCAGTCCAGGGATTTCTTCTACTTGTGCTCAGGTTTCGCTGAGTGACCTCTATGAGCACCCACACTTGACTACAGTATGCACACACACACACACACACACACACACACACACACACACACACACACACACACGCATGCAAGCTTAGTTGTCTCCAACTTCAGACACACAAATGCTTTATATGAGCATCCCGAATCAATACAACTGATAGCAGGCTAACATGACGCGCGCACACTCTTCCCCTGCCAAGTGTGATTTTATTCCTACGTTTTTCATTAAAGACGCTGCACATGCGTGAACCTTTTTGATCTGAAGCTGTAAACACCTCCGCCACATTTTACCGAAGACCTTTGATCCTGTTGGCCTTGAGATAGCTTTTCCAAAAGGTGTTGTCCGGCCTCCAGTTGAGCAGGTTTGCATTAAACGTGAAATGCTGAGCATCTGTTTGACAGCTTTTCCAAGAGAAGGGGAGTGAAAGATTAAAAACACAGATAAAGCAGACTTCTTTGCTCTTTTTTACCCCACGCTCATCACCTTCTCTCCTCCCCCTCTTTCTATTTCTTCCCACAGTGGCCCTCAAGTGGCTCGGTAAGCGGAGTGGTGGAAGTTGGCCAGTGTGCATTCAGTGCCTCCACTGCTGCAGTATAATTACTCCTGCTAATCAGAGCACTTTACAGCAGCTCCTCTGTTCATCTGTACCCCCTCCTCCGTCTCTCCTAACACTCTGCCTCTCTGTCTATCCTCCCCTCTACTCTTCCTATTAACCCCCCCTCACAGAAGACAGAGCGCTCACTTGAATAGTTCGTAGTACGTGTGCGTATGATAGATGTGTGCACGGCAGGCAATTGAGATAGAAGCTGAGCTGAGACAGAGGGAGAGTGTTTGGTGGCTGATAAAGAGGTCATTGTGCATGTTCTGCGCCTGATAGTTGCTCATCTCCACCCTGAACTGGCAGCAGTCAAGACATCAACCACTGCTCAAGACCCTGGGGTTAACTTCACCATAAAGACCTCAATGGCTCATAAAAATTCAATCTTTTTTTTTCTCCCCTTTTGGTCCACACCCCACTAATAAACACATCTCCCTGAACACACAGGCCCACGCTCATAAAATCCAGGGTTAGTTTTATTTAGCGCCACGATTGTTTTAAACCCTCTGCTCCGAAAATTAAATTGTTAAAGTTCCACTGCTGCCTTTAAGCTCCTGCTCTGTTCCAGTTAGTGTATGCAGCCTCTGCAGGCTTATATTTGTCCTTTGGTCTACAGCCAGAGTTTTTTTTCTTCAACCTATAGAAATGAGAGCATGAAGGAGTCACAATAAAGACGTAGCACACTGTACTTTATGTGTTGAGTCAGAGTTATGCAAAGGATGCTCCCAGGAGAGCTGTCGTCTTGGCTAGGAAAGAGATAAACGATTTACAGCAAATCCTAGGTGAGACTCGTACTGTAAGCATACATCTGCATATAGGGAGCACTGATTGCACCAAAGCGTACTTACAGAAGAGTGACATGATTTAAAAGCCAGTGTGAAGACAAACATGTAGGGATTGCAACTTATTTGACAAACTGTATATAAGCCTAGACCATATGCACACTTTCACACCTTCCATTCAAAATGTGCTCTATTTGTGAGCTCAGGTTGCATTGCTAATACCATTAGCCATCCCTGCATTAGCCGGATGATGTATGGCAGAGCTTAGGAAACCTGACTACATCCCAGGAAAGGTCAAGAAATGCATGTAATACAAACACCCATGTTCCACTCCCTCCTTTTAGACAGATCCCAATCAATAGTGCCGCTTTAAATAGGTCTCCGCATTATTTCTGTTTCTAAGTATGGCTCTGTTATGCTCTGTTTTTCTGTCCCACGAAATATTTTTTCTGCTTTTTCAGCAACCCAATACCCTTACGACAGAACTGCCCCGCCACAGTCATGCAGAAAGACAGACCAACGTGGACTCTTAATGACAAACAGAAAAAAAGCCCAGACAAATTGCCCATCAAGATGCAAATGAACTATTAAAAGAATCATCCGTATGTAATATATGCAACAAATCACCATGAAGAAACCTGAGTATTTGCTATATCAGAAGAAATAGGACAGCTATTGGCTGTCATGGTCCACTGAATATCTTTTTCGTGTTGTTAACATCAGCGGTCACAGCAATCATGTGGTGTGGTTTTCCTTCCATTACTAGTCTTGTCTGGAAGATTGTTCCCTTACTCAATATCCAACATTCATATAATACAGAATATAAATGACATGACACTGATACATTCGAACCATGCATTTAAAGTACGAGCTAGAGGGGAGGTGGGTTACAAAGTAGCTTGTAGATGTGTTAGCAGGAAAGTTGACCCTAGTTTTTTGGTGGAGCCTTCAAATGAGTGATTTGCCAAAGACGTGTGAAACAGAGTACCAGCTGACTGATGGTCACCTGTTGGAGTTTTTTTTTTCTTTTTAGGTTAAATATAACTATGCCATTAGAATAAATTCTATTTAGGGGGCGCTAGCGAGCCAGCAATGGAGTAGGACGTGTTTCTGAAGGCTCCCGCTAACCGAGTTTCAGAATAAATTCTATTTAAATTTTAATTGAATTCTTTATATATAATTATTATTTAAAAAGGATGTTATATCTGATTTTAAATACACCATGTTTAAAGGTTATATTGTACTTATTGATAAAAGCTTTGAACACAGAAATATAAAACGTGGAAACCAGATAGCAGTCCTAAAAAAATCATAACATCTGTAAAGAGGGGACACCGAAAGTATTTCGGATTGAGTGTCCCGGTGTTTGGCCATGAAGGAAACCCCAGGAGTCTCCACAGGGTTAATCCTGCAAGTGCAAGACAAAGCTAATGAGGCGCAGCCTGAGGTTCTGGTGGGAATTACTGGCTCAGATCTGAACCAGGCTGCACAACTCCGTCCCCACTCTGCTGTTGTGCTCAGAGGGGTCTTAGATTTGCCTGGACAGACCTCTTACTTGGCCTTTTCGACCACACTTTGACAGAAGGCATAATCTGTACCCTTCTCTGCAGAGCTTTTCTGTCATCTAACAGAATCGCTGCTTTGTAACTTGCAGAACTTTTCAAAACAAATGCATAATATGACAGGAGTGTTGGAGAGATATGATGGATGCATTGTTTTTTCAGAAGAAGCAATGCCATGGAGCTGCTGCAAAATGGAAAATTACATTGAAATAATTAATGGAGCTCACAACGAAAGAGGAAATAGGACAATTTATGAAAATTACTTCTTTACAGACATAGCTATGATAGAAACCAGACCCGTCCAGTAGCACAGTGCTCTTCTCGCTTCTCTGGCCTCAGCAAAGGCTAAACTCAATATGATGACCTCGCTAAAACCCCAGACTTTGTTCAGCTAGAAACCATATGGCCTCAATGTTGTGCAGTGCGCAAAGATCACACAGATGGAGATGTGGCGAGAGGAGACCTGGCATGCAAGGCCCAAACTTGGTGTGGGGAAAGCTGAGTGTGTAGTGGGTGGTGGATATTTACCCCCTTAGTTAAAGAGCATTCCTTCTTTCTGCACAGAGCAACTCAGGAAGAACCCATCTGTCTATCAGAAACAGCTGCTACATGAGTGCAGCACGCCAGACATCTGCTTGGGGACTTGGTGACTTGTTTGATTATGGTATATGCACGGGAATATACAATGAAATTAATACATTAAGGTGTTGATTTATACACAGGAAGTGAATAAAGTTTATATGTATATTATACTATATACTTCTATGACTTCTTGGTTCTCAGAGAACTTATCTCTATTTTTGTAATGTTTGGATTTTTCCTTTTTTAGACAGTAATGGATGAATAAAAAGATTTTCCCAGAAGTTTTCATACAGTACTCCCCTTAACATTACAAGCAGGGCAAAATTTTCCAGTGCTTTGGTTTATGATAAACTATATATAGCAACAACAAGTGGTGTTGCTGTGAAACTAAAATGGTGAACGCTGTACAGAAAGCTGGTAAACGTCTCCATGCTGCCACTGGCACAGCCTCCTCAAAATATTGAGCTCAGAGTGCATCATGTTAACTTCTGAAAATCCTGTCAGCAATGATGCAGTGGAACCAACTTAAAACAAAAGGGCAGTTCTAGTGAAAAGTTTACCTACATTCATCACGGACATGAATGCCATGGTAATTTGGAGCTTCCATGCAGTACACAGTCAGAGACAGAAATAAATATTTTTTTCGCCTGCAATGTGGACAGAATTTAATTGTGCTCTATTTCTATAGCTGTATATAAGCAGTTTAAATAACATGTTTCCTGTCTCATAAATGCTCCTGTCTCTCTGTTTTCTTCCTTATAGATCCTAGTTTACCTACCGATGTCATTCCTACCTCCGATTTGGATATATCTTCATCCTCCCTCCCTGATCCCTTCCTTCCTGATGCCTCCTACAGCCCACTGCCAGGAGGAGAAACGACTACGTCCAGCGCCGGTTCTCCTCGCTTCCTCGGTCACGGCCTCAATGAAAACCTCATACCCATCTACTGCTCTATCCTGGCTGCCATGGTGGTGGGTCTTGCCGCTTATCTCATCTTTAGGAGGTCAGTTTGTGAAGAGAAATAATTAAAAGCAACTCTATGGTCAAGGATATTGGCTCATTTGGGTTTTACAACTTATTCAAAAATATTGCCTGGTGTAGAATGAGTGAACAACGATGGTGGTCTGGATGTTGCTTGGAGCGACATCTGCCCCAGGCAACATCTGGTTGAAAAGTAGTAGTAAGGTGGCTGGTCGAATATTAATTCCAGTTGTGGTTGAAGAGGCTTTAAGCCATTTGTGCTAAAACACACCATAACAAAAAAACCCCAAACTCAGCTCTTAATACTTCAGAGAGCTGTCTCTCTCCCTTACTGTCTCTCTTTTGCTCTCTCTCTCTCTCTCTCTCTCTCTCTCTCTCACACACACGCGCGCACACACACACACGTTAGTGAGGACGTGCAACCACACATGCAAGCACTCAGACAGACAGATACAAACCCAGGCTATAACACATTTGAAGCAAGTAAACAAGCTCATTAAGGGCATTGATTGTTTGAAAAGTGCCGACCAGAGGAAATTTGAGTGCCAGATTTATCAGCACAGTCACGCACACATCTGGTTAATAACCTCATGTACTTGTTGACATGCATAGACAGACTGTAAATTACATGAATTTCTTTAACACCCAGTATTTTATAAGAAGAGGTGTTTACTATACTGTACCACTAAATACCTCATGAATATTTAAATTACTGATTCACATTACTTTATCTTCTACAAGAAGAACACTTTGTTGTATTTCTTTTTTATAGTATTTTGTATATTTATTTTATTTAGTGTTTCTTTTTCTTGTAGTTGTATTCATAACACTAATTATAATTCTGCTTTCTAAGATTCTAGTACAAAATATAACTATGCAGTTTACAGTGATAATGATGACCCATAGCATTTTCTGAAGAAATACAAGTGAAAGTTACTCCATTCTAGCAGCTGGCTGTTGAATTTGAAAGTGGAAGCGACAGCTGTGAATGGATTTCTATAAGGTGTTAGAAGCTGTAGCTAGTTAGCTAACTAATGCATTGCAATGAACTGATTTAAAATGCTGTCTCCATCTGGACTTTATAATGTCGATCACACTAAATGTTTGTGGCAAAATCTTTGTGTAATTCACAAATAAGAAACAGAAATAGATGGAAATGGAAATATTCTTTTTGCATAGGACTGTGGAGCTAGTTAGTCCATTGATTCTGAGGATGATGTAAAATATGAAATATAGTTTACTAATTTGTCATTTTATGGTTTTTGATTTAGAATGATCTTAAATACTAAATGTGTTTAGCTAATATATCCAGTAAAGTGGGCAGAGCAGCTGGGATCTTAGGGTGATATTTTTAGGGTTCTAGCATTGTCGTAGTTCTTTCAGCATAATAAGTAATGTTGTTGCAACTTTCATCATTGCAACTGACTAATCCTGCTAATGTGATGGTAGTGGGAGAAGTTTGAATGCAGTGCTTTCTGGGAGAAAAGGCTTCCAGACAGAAACACTTTAAGGCAGGAAGGCTTTCAAAGGCCAGGTGAGGTAATACAAAGAGTGGAGCAGGTTGTAATGGATCCGGTGGGTAAAACGTGTTTCATCATTTGCACTGAAGATTGTTAAATATGATGTTTTAGGAACAACACCAACGTTGGGACATCAGATCCCACACTGTAGATAGAGACTTGAAAGGGCCATTTGCAATGTAACACAATGTAGGTAGCTGATAATGTGGTGATAAGCCACCCTCTTAACCTCTTATTGACTTCTGTTTGTCTATTGCAGAAGATAAGAACATAATTTTGTACATTCAATAGTTTTGTTTTTGTGTTTCTGGTTTTAGAAATGCTTAAAAAAAGCCAAAGAAAAGTAATACTTTAATGAAAGAAGATTTGTTTTAGTTTAAAACCATGACTGTATCTTTATCGCACTGGATCTTATCTGATGTGCTACTTTTCCACAGGTGGAATAGCTGCAAACAGAACAAACAGGCAGCTAATAACCGTGGAGCTACAAATAACCAGATGGTGACGCCGGAAGGAGAGAAGTTGCACAGTGACAGCGGGATCTCAGTGGACAGTCAGAGTCTGCAGGAGCAGCAGCAGCAGCAGCAACAGCAGCAGGCCCAGGCTGAAGTCCAGCCTCAGCCTTCGCACTCTCATACACAGGAACAGATAGGTAGGCTCAAACCCTAATCCCAGCTTTTCAGTCTTTCCGTGTGATAAATGGGTATTTAAATATCCAAAATGCTTTATCTTTCATCTTTCTGTCCTCTCTTGCTTATTGCAAATCAATTTCCCAGTTCCATGAAAGCATAAAGTGGAAATTGCGTGACCGTGTTCTAATAAAATGATAAGCCTGATGGGAGCTAAGGTGCTTCACTCCATGAAAACCTGGCCTCTCATCACAGAAACTTAGACTCATCCCAGACTAAATACATTTTTCCTTCACGTGGTATTACTTTCGGTGCCAAGGAAAGTCTACCTCGATTAAATCAAGATATTCTACTGAGATTTTATCAATGTGTGTAGTGGTGTTTTTTGAGCATTGTGCAAGCTTTTCTCTCAGAGGGAAGACACATTTCTGCGGGATTGAGATCAAAAGCAGTATATCACCTAACAGCAGGACTAAAATCTACATTTAGCTGCCAAAGGCAGGTAGGTGAGGCCAAGTCTTACAGGTATTCACGATGCATTAGACTCAAGGAATGCACAGAGTACGGCTCTGTAGGAAACCTGCCGTCAAAACAAGGTGAAAAATTTCAGTGTTGACAGAATTTTGACACAGATTCCATCTCAGTCAGTACATTGGAGGAATGTATAGACTGGGTATGTAACTGTATATGTATGATCTGTATTTGACTTTACCACTACTCCTCCATATATTTGTCTCTGGGGACTTGGGAAGTGTTTCTGGTGTAGGTCTTTAGGACAGATTGTGCAATGCAGACATGAAAGCCAGACAACATCTAAAAGGTTTGTTTGGAAGATGAACTCAATAAATGATGTCTGGCTTAGAACCAACATTATGCACTTTACTAATCTATTATAAAGCAATTTACCATGTCCTTAATTTACTTCTTGTAATGCAGTGCATTAAGATGGAGAAACGCAGAGATGAACTTTTTTGTGTGTGTGTTTTTGTTTGTCTGAGATATCTGCCATTACTGTTAATATAGATATATTAAGATAACTCCGAGTATACATTTTTTTTCTAGTGCTTTGCCATTTTTGTCTGCAAGCCAGAATTTCTGTGCTTCCTACTAAAGGCATAAATATTGTTAAAAAATTTTGTTTGTTTTAAATAAAGAGCTGTGACATTTTCAAAATTAGCTGGGAACTTTAGATTGTAGGGAATGTTACTGAATCAGGAGAAATCTGTGCATTTTGGGGACTAACTTGCAGATTTATATATGTTAAAGCAGCATGAATGTGTATGTTGAAATGTGTTTTGGATTGTTGGGAACAGCAGTACTTTTTAGCAAATTCATTATCAAGCTTTGGATGTAAAGACAATGTTTTACAGGATCAATATGTTAGAGGGATTTGATCACAATAGCTACCCCCCCAAAAATGCCAGTATCATCCCTTAACCAGTACAAGAAATATAAATGCAAACATTGAATTATTACTATATTTGAGCCCAGTTATCTCAAATTATACCAGTCTTTTATGACCATCTAATTCTCCTTTTAAATCAATATAAGATCAGGTGATTTCATTCGCTGCATAGCACTGAATATATAAACGCGAAGAATGAGGCTCGGTGAGAATTGTCACTGAATGTCTGGAAAAAAAGAGCCTTGGAGGATAAAAGTAAGTGCTCCAGGAATGTGAAGTGGCCTCTGCACAACACTGAGCCATCCATCGCCCTTCAATTCTCAAATAGCACTTACAAAATGAAACCAGCTTTTTTATTTGATTTATACATATAAGACTGAGTTTTTTCCTCTACTGAAGAGGTCTTAAGTTCACTCGTGATCTTGTTTTCAGTTGTTCTCGCTTGTCCTGTTCTTTCTCAGGGTTTTATTTTTCCCTTCCAAAGCATATTGTGTAAAGATTAAGAAATTGTTATAATAAGGATAATAGTATGCGAAGACAAACAACTGACAAATCCTTGCTTCTACAATCCGAACCACTGTGTCTGGTCTAGGATACCCATTACATTCTAATGAGGCCTGGAAAAAGCTCATTTTGTTCTTGTGTTTTGTTTGAGTACCTCTTTTCATTCTTCCACTCAACAAATGTGAAGCCCGCTGTATGTCGAAGAAAAGAAAGGAATTTCTTTTGGAGGCAAAGTTTGGCATTGGTTCATTGAGAGGATGACTGCCTGCTTAACACTGTCACCTCTTTAACGGACTGGCTCATTAGCAGGTGTTACGAGATGGGATCCAGGCCTGGGCTCCAAATCTGATGTAGTATCAGTGTTTAGCACGTGCTAATTGGCATTACCACCGTCTGTCGGTGCGGAAGCCATTAAAAAGGCAGCAAATGTGCTTGTGCAGGGGGTTGTGTGCTCTTACACAACCAACTGGGACTGTAAAAAAAGCAAAGGAGTGAGAATATGCGCCATAAATCCATGATAATCGCAGGGGGTTTCCTGTTTCCACTGAACCATAGTTAACTGGTAGCTAAAGTAATGGGAACAGCTTCAGTCAAAACAAGTCAAAGAGGCTTTTAAAACCAGAAACCGAGCACTGAAAATGTCCCCTCGCTTTGACTGACACACTCAATGAGGGTATTCCCTGCATGATTCACTGGTGAGGGGTGAGACCTCCAAGATGAAGGGTCCTCAGCCTCATTTCTGTCTGCTCATCTGAATTGAAAAGAACCATCTCATCTGTGCAGCGCCCCTCCCTGAACTCTCCCTCGCTTACTGCCTGCTTCCCCCTATGAATTGTGCAGATTGTATGTGTTTAAAATTTAAACGAGACCTCATTGCCCAACAAACTGAGTCAAAGCAGGTGTCAGTCAAAAAATATTTAAAGGATTGTCAGAGTCATTGGAAAAAACAAAAGACCTGATGATGAAAGGGTAGAAATTTTAATGTCAAAACTGACCTAAAATAACACTGTAGCAAATGTACAGTCCCAGATTTATGCTGCTTAATCTTCCTATGAAAGCCACTGACAGAAGGTTTGCTGAAAACGCAGAGGGACGACAGTCTTTATTGCATCACTACAGTCCACCTCCATCATGGGGTTTACATGTGGGATTGCGTTTGAGAGCCCACGGTACCTGCAGAATCTCAGCAGTACATTCTTTACTCTGTAACATTATACAGCTGAAAGTTACAGTAATAATGCAGCTGAGTCATGTTACAAATCACTAATGCAATTTCTGCAGTACAAGAGGGATGACTCATAACTGGTTGTCATCCTCCCACATTAGCAAGTTTGCAAAAACTTCTCTGGGTGGAAGTATTCTCACTGCTGTGGTTATCTGAATAATGAGCATAGAAGTAGGCAGCAGACACCCCGCGTGAAATAAGTATGTATTTGGTGCACAGTAGAGCTGCAATGAGTCGACTAACTGATTAAATTATTCTAAACTACTTTAATAATTGGTTAAGTGGTTTGATTACCCTGAAGATGTTGGTTTAACAAATCAACACACTTGATGGTATCAACAAGGATTTAGGCTGTTTTTTCCCCCAAAGCCAGAGTCTTATTATTTCATCTGTTTTTGTCAAATCCACAATCAAGGAGCAATTAGGTCTCGGAAATAAGTTCACAACTAAATTAAATATTCACCCTCTAATGTCCTGACTAATATTCAGCTTCCCTTTTTAGCCCAGGATGTAGAAGCAAATTTCTGAAGTGCTGGGAACCTGGTGACTAGTTTTTTGAATTAGCCTCTGGGGACAACCACCAGCTGGGGCTTCCAGTGTAGAGAACAGGCATCTGGTGCAAGACTTGCTGCTCTGTAAACCAGTGATTCTTTACAAAGTCAGATACATTAAAAAAAAACAACTATAAAAATCTAAATTATGATCAGAGCCTAGCTTAAGGTTCAAGGTTGTATTTTGGCAAACGAGTTCACTCTATTGCTCCCACCATGTGCTGTTGTTGGCAATGTGCAAATGCACAATTGGGTACAAATATCTTGCCCCATGACACAAGTGCATAAGCAGATAATTGATATAAAAAAAAAGACTATGGAGATTCATCAGCTTGGTACATGCTATCACAAATGCCTGATGACAAATAAAAATACAAAAAAGAGGGACCAGGCAAATTTAGCAAATAGGTTTATAATTTAGGAAGAAAAGACTGTGTTCATGCAGGGTTTAGTTAATCAAATAAACACAAAAATATGTAGTATCCTTTCAAGTGCCCTAAAAAATTAAAATGGATTTAAATGGAATAAAATGAGTTCTGAAATGAATATAAGTAGTGCTATTTGATAGTAAACTATCAAAAGAAAAACAGATATATATGTGAACATAGTAAAACACTGACTCTTAAACTTTTCCTTTGAGTTCTTGTGACAATCATGAAACCACAAATCACAATCACAATTGGCAAATTTCAAAGCTTAACAGTGGCTTTGGATCCAATCAGGATTCCCTGAATGTTCTGATTGGAAAAAAAAAGAGTCTGTAACAAGGCTTCGCTCTGATGGGGAGTTCACGTTTCAGAGTAGACCTGATTGAACTGGTTCAGTGAAAGACAGTTTGTATTGATTCTCGGAATGAGGTCGGACTTTATAAAACAGCCATGTGGCTATTATTATCAATGCTGCCTCTGAAATGAGGTGCATTGCCAGTTCAGAAACAGTTGGACTGAAGCAGAAGTGCAGGTGCAAGCCACTGTGTGTCTGTGTGCATGAACTTGTGCGTGATACAGATGGCTGGGCACTGGCCAGTGTCAGAGTCTTTCTGCTCTGTGTCACTGAGGATGCCTGTAGAGTGTCTGTTTAAGCAGAAGGAAGAGACGAGTGCTTTGGACTGCCGCTGGACATAATCAGAGTAGATGGAGAAAGGAAGCAGAAAAACTGGGTGTAGCGATCTTAGTGCTCTTAGTGCAGTATGATGTTTGGAAAAGGATTTTGTAGGAGGAGAGTGACACTATAGGTAGTCCCTTCTTCAAACTGTGTTGTACTGTAGTTCACTTTCACAAGTCTTCATTCCCAAGGTGTTTCCATGGTTTCCCTCAATCAGCTTTGTTTCCCATCCTCATGGAGCTAATGATCCAGTTTAACAAGCTTGAATGAGTGGATGACACCATAGGGCCCTCTACAGGGTAGTGTGTGATTATCCAGAGTTTTAGAGGTTTTACATGACTTATAGTAAGTAGTTTATTTTTTGGTGAATCGATAGTTATAACATTCGGGTGATTAGAAACATTTCCTCGTGATTAAGAAACTTTTTGAAGAAAATAGAACAAGGATCTTTCCAGTGCGAGACACAAGAAACAGTGTTGGTATGAGTGAAATTTCAAGATAATAAAAGAAGAGCTCTACAACTAAAAAACCCCCCACCAGTGTCTTCTTTTCACAGCCTGACATATATCTTATCTTTTTCTGCAGTGGTTAGGGTGGATGGGGGTCCCCAGCCTGACTCGCCTCCCCCTGAAGTCTGAGGAGACGGAGGCCCAAGACAAGGAGAAGACAGTGGGGACTTAAACAGTGGACCAAAAGGAAGACAGGCGGCCACAGAATGTAAAAACTGACTCTGATTTATATCTGAAGCTGCCACAGAGCGACATTTCGACTGATAAGGACCTCCCAGCACCTTTGGGCCACACGCTGACTCTTCCTCCATGCACATACAGTGTGCCTGGACACAATCTCTTTGGCAATATCAACCAAAATCTGAACCCGTGTTACACAGATAGGTAGATATTTGCCAGTGCATCTTGTATTACCTGACTATTCCAGTATGACATGACATAATTCTCACTAGCTGCCAGTTTAGAACCTCCTATCCATCTCAAAGCTTTTCATTTACCTTTAAATTTTATGATCACTTGCAATGAAACATCTATGCCTGATAGGTAAATAGGTAGAAAGACACTTCATTATATTCCCTCTTTTTTCATGAGCATCGAAGAGACAAAGGGAGCTTGTCCGTCTCACATCTTGCTCTGTGGCGTCCCACTCTTGGATAATCCTCTGCCTCTCTCCACGAGATTCACTCTATTAGACCCCCACTGTCATCAGCGATACGAAAAGCAACAGGGGAGCCGTGAGTCACTCCCAACTTCTTCTGAAATTTCTTTCTCTTGTATCATTTAACCACAGATGCGTTTCATGTCATGTTGTCTTATAAAAAGTCTGCGTCATTGTTTGAGATTGGCTACGCCGACTGATGCGAGTGACTCATATTTGGAAAAAGAGGTTAACTGTTTTATTTTTTTTTTGCCTCAGTGAGATGCTTCTTCCTGACTTTCTCTCACAAACTAACCTCCGTTACGGCACCTAAAAAGGATTGTGTTTCGGTAATTTCACGCTTTTAATTCAACATACGCAAATGTATATCTTCTGTTTATGGTGCGGTACTTTAATTTTGTGGCTTGAGCTACATGGCTGATTCAGCAGTGGTCCTCCACACTCCTCCGTGGAGCCTGGATGTGCAACATGAGAGGGAACGTCTCTGCATTGTGGAGCTCTGCTGACTCATTGCAATGAATTAACATGCCTGATGGGAAGGGGAAGCCGTCTAATGAGCAACAAACTACGTCATCAGTGCTCATTAAACTGATGTTTAAATGAATCTGGGACACAAAATCAGCAACAAGGAATCCCATCTATAACAATTTACGCTTACTGAGTGGAAAATTGGGACAACCCTCAGAGGCACACTTTCATTTCATAATCTGCACAAGCAACTACATCTTCACATTCTCACTCTTGCAGTCTTTCATGCAGCTTTGTCTGAGTCTGATAAACAGTGTGGAGGTGCTAATGCTTTGCCGCTGGCACTCACATCAACACGGGACCCATTAGAGAGACATCCTGACAGGCAGGTAGTAATTACCTCAGGGTTTCAGCTTCATTTACCCTCTGCTCCACTCTCATTGGGATTAATGCTGCGGACAACAGAGGGGTGACTACGCCCTCGCTGAAGCCTCAACGCCACATTACAAATCCTTTATCCCACTCTGAGGCTGCTGACATTTACTACATTGGCTGGTGATATAAAAGCACTTAGTCCAGGCTCACATCTAAAGCTGGGTGACACCTTTTATCATGGAGGACCACTTTTATGCTGCCCCCCTCCTGTTGCCTAACGTAGCTGTAAAAGCAATTGACATAGATACCTTGCAAAAGATTGTAGCTGAGCTCACCTGCATTGCTTTAGCATTCATTCCTTCAGGGGCACGTATCATCTCAGGGTCCCTCTTAATGTGGTGTGGATAAAATGATAAAGAGATCTTCAGAAAATTAGTGTGAATCATCTGTAAGTTGTGTAATAGACAAGCTAAGTAGACAAGTAAAGTAGCTAGAAAGACACGGGTTGATATAGATTCAGGATCTAGAAACAGAATCATTTAAAAGAATAGTTTGATTGCTTTTTTCATGAATATTTTCATGAGAAGATTGTTGCTAATGTCAGATCTGAACATTCAATATGATGCTCTCTGAGGCCGGTTAGCTCAGCTTAGAATTAATACTACAAAACGGGGGAAATGGTTGGCTCTGGTCAAAGGTACAAAATTCACCTACCTGTACCAAGTTCCCTAATAAACACATCACTTCACCTAGCTTCATACGAAACCTCACATGTAAGAGATGACACATGGCTTTTAAACGGGGATTATTTGTTATGCCATTACCTATGGACAAGTGGATGTGTTTACTTGTTAGCAGAACTTGTCGAATTTAATGACCACCAGATAGGAAATGTCACACAGTGAGAAGAAGACAGAGAAAGTGAGTCATTATATCCCACATGCATCAATCACCTGGTCACCAACAGCTCAAGACAATTAAACTTTCTCTTCACTTGTGATCCATGAATCACTGCAGCATAATGAATGGAAGCAAATAAAACTCTGCTGTCCTTTGCTCACACCTCCTCAGCTGATGCGGTGCGGACATGTGACCACACACACATACAGACAGTGTATGATTCACTCCTCTATTGTAAGAGCCGGTATGAGTCATCCCGATCCTAGCTCTGGCAGTGACATTAAAGCAGACTCTGCTACAGTATGAGCGACCAGAGTGTTGACTTAACAGGAAAGTAAAAAAAACCCCTTACTCCACGACTGCATCCCCCTGAGGCCCAATCAGCCCTCCACCATTGAACTCATATACCCTGAACTGACTTATTCTGTGTTACTCTAACAGCTTGTAAAGTGAGACACACTGTAGGAATCTACAACCTGAATATAAACAGAAATATATGCAAGACCAATTCAAGGATAAGGTTTGAGTAGCCCTAAGTTTTTGTTGTAAATTGATTTTTCTTTTTTGTCTTTACATTTTCCTGTTTGTTTGTATGAATGAACAATATTACACTTTTGGAATCCGTATTTTTTCTAACTGATGTTATTTTGTAGCACTTATTAGACATAATATGAATGCACTCAAAGAGTGTACCACAGTTCAAGTGCCTGTGTACAGTGTCCAGTATCTTTGAGTTCAGATGTATGGCTAGTTTTCTTTTGCAGTTTTCCACTTATTTTGTGTTTTTTGTGTATTTTTAAAAATATTTTCAGAGCTAATGAAGGTTTCTAGTAAATCGAAGTCAGCACTATAGATGAACCTTGGAGACGCAAGCAAACTGTATAAACTTGGCACCAGTGTAAAGAGACTTACAGTACAAATAGGTTGCCAGTGAACACATACTATATGTTAACATGCTATAAATACTGGCAACTAACAGGGTCATGTAGCATTGCATAAACATGCCACCCAGGACTTCTACTCTTATGCTCACACATACTATTTGTCAATAGAAATCAGCTCTACGGTACTGATTTTTTGCATGTACAGTAAGTTTTATCACATACCTCCATCACAGAGGCAACAAGATATGTAATCTACAGTAAAATGAAGTCTATGGGGAGGTTCACTGTGATACTCTGTGATATTATTACTTGATACAGATAGATCAGGACCTGGTCCCAGTAAAGCTGAATGTCATCTGCAGTAACCTACTAATGTAAAATGCATTATGTAAATGTGAATTTCTTAGCGTTGATACAATACAGAAAAATACCCTAGAAAATGTATAAAAACAAAAATATGTGCAAGTGTAATGGACATCCATATTAAAATAAACAGATGTCATTGCATTATTTGTCTACTCTGTCTTTGTAGCTACACTGAGATTGATTATATTCACACGAATTGATAAATATGGTGTTAATATTATTGGTTAAAGGAAGAGCTTGAGATCTTGGCAAACCTGCTTGCTAAAAAGCGATGTGTTTTGCAAATATGAAACCTGTGCCAGCTGTTGATTAGCTTAGAGTAGCTCAAAGAATACAAGGAGGAAAACTAATAACGCTTCAGTGTTTAAGCATTAAGATATTAAAATAAAATGAACAATTGCCACATTTAATTTCAGTGTAATAACTTTTTGTCATCACCTTAAAAACATGAAAAATTATGCAACAGTTGTAGATGGGTGAAAGTATGGACTTAACAATCCGGTTTGGCATATATTATTGCCTGCTTGCAAATGCTTTTATTGTCTGGTAGAACGCTGCGTCTTAATAGTTTATGAATTGCAGATCATTTCAGGCTCGGAGATATTTTTAGGCTGTTTTCGTTGTACATTTCCATTTCCAGTGACGTTTGAATCAGTAGACTTTGAGGTCCACCCCCCCAAAAACACTGCAGCTTGCAGGTTTTTAATAAACTTGAAGCAGTTCATTAAGGATTTATGCTAATGAATCCACTCTCTGAAATCATCCTTCAGTTTAAGTTTCATAACTGACTGCATGACATGTACATCATTTACTTTAATATCCTGAAATGATTTCCTCTTTCCTTTGCCCATTTAAAGTGTTTTTTTATGCATGGCTTGTATTTTCTTGGTTTCATATCAAAATCCGTGAAAACCAGGAGTACGTGGAATAGCAGTGTAGTGGTTAGCACTGTTCCTTGATGGCAAGAAGGTTTTGAGTGATGCTACGTTGGGGTACTTCTGTGCGAAGTTTAGATGTGTCTATGTGGGTTTCCATCCCCCCACAGTCCAAACTTGCTGGTTAGATTAATAAAGGGTTAAAAAAAATCACTTAAACTGCATATTATAATGTGCTGCATGAATGTATGTGATTTGTAGCCCAAGGGACTTATTGAGCTAAGTAAGACTAGAAGAGCAGTACAGTATAAATGTTCGTATATTTTCAGTCCATACAACATCATGCTGTAATCGATTAAATTTAGAAGCACTCGTAGACTGATTTGTTAGCTGCAGACACAGCCAGGCCAGCTACTGTATACTTGTGGTCAGCATGAGGAGAAAACACAATTGTGGTCAGAAGTTTACAAACAGTCATCATGGGCATGACCGTCATGGTAATTTGGGGCTTTTAATGATTTCTTTGAACTGTTCTTTGTCAGAGGGTAATGATTTTAGAGGAGACATATTTAATTTAAAATCCAATAAGAACCGGATGCACAAGTATTGAGAGTTTTCTCTAATTCACAAGGGGGTCAAAAGTTTGCTGGCATGAAAAGAATACTCAGGACCAATACTCAGACCAATGGGTCCAAAGAACTGAAGGAGAATTGTAGATTTACGTAAGCTGGGAAGACTTTTTAAACAACTGAAGATTCCAATTTCATTAATTCAAACAATGTTAAGTATTTGCATGTGTCTTTGCAAGTATTTGCTAAAGCAGGGGTAGGCAACTCCAGGCCTCGAGTGCCGGTGTCCTGGAGGTTTTAGATGTGTCCATGA